GGTTTACATGTTCATTAATATACATGATTACAATAGCAGCTGTCTTCTTCCAATATTAATACTGACCTAATTTTAAAATATATTACTACAGTTTACTTATAATCATTTTTTCTACAAATTAACTTATTAGAATTAGATGCACAAAATATCATTTTTGATAGGTAAATTATGGAATCTACACAATCAGTTTTTGTCAGAAATCATTTAATTGATTTTCGGAAGTACATGTAATTTGTTTTGAGTTAAAATTATTAATCCTTAATTGTAGGAAAAGTTTCAACTGGAATTCTGAACAAGAATCTATAATATTATCACCACTGCTAGGATGATCAATTAAATTTGCAAAATAGAGTTAGTTTGGAGTTCATAAGGTATGTAGCTTTTCAAAAACAATTCATATTTTAAGGTGGTTAAATTTTCTATATCTAGTTCTTTTCTCTTCCAAGATGCAGTACAAAATATTCACAGCAGAGATTAACATGATCTGCCATAGCCTAAGCATTTCATTACCCTGTTAGAAAATAAGGTACTGGGTTTAGAAATGCTGAGTTCTTCTCTTAAACTGGACCATCACTTAAAAATATTTCAGCTCTATTTACTGTAGGAGTGTTGAAAATAACTGCAGGTCCCCAGCTAAAAGTTGGCATAGGAGATTACAAAACTGCTGTATTGACAGTAAATAAAATCTACTATAGTACACAACTATTCAAAGATTGAAGATGAATTAAATACTTTAGAAAATTAATCCCTATTTTGTGTTTTAGAGTAGGTGTCTGAACATCTTCCCAAGAAGGCTTTTTTCTCTTTGACTCTTATTTCCCTTTTGCTTTCTTGACTGGGAGGACATTAAACTGATGGGATTAAAACAGAGTCCTTCTGAAACATACTTTGCAGTGCACAGGTTCCACTGTGAGGAAAGAAGACAACTCCATTCCATGTTTTACACCTTTCTGGTTTAGATATGGATTGTGCCAATTCTAGCTACACTTCCTTATTTTTTTTGTTTAAATTCTTTTACTGGTACATTTTAGGTATACAATATGTTTACATTTATCATTGGCTGCTTGTACCTGTATATGATGTATCTTGGTTCTTATTTTTTCCCCATTACCTGTGTGCCCTTCACCCCTCTACCCTTTCCATTTACATAGACTTTGTTTTCATTTTTTTTCTCATAATTTTCCTTTCCATTCTTTCCTTTCCCCATCTCCTCCCACAACCCCTACTCCTTTGGACCTTTTCCTATTTCATAGTATCAATTAATATTTATTAATCTTTTTAATCCTTATTTACACTCTCAGTTTCTCACACTAGAGAAACTATTCAGTATTTACACATGTGTGTCCTATTTATTTCACTTAGGAGTATGGCCTCGGTATGCATCCATTTAGCCATAACTGACTCTAGTTTCTCATTCTTTATGGCTGTGTAGTACTCCATTTTATAAAACAAAACACATCTTCCTTATCCAGTTTCCAGTTGAAGGGCATTTGGGTTGTTTCCAAGCTTTAGCTATTACAAACTGTGCTGTTATAAACATGGGTGCACATATATCTCTGTGCTATGCTTCTTTTATTTCTTTTGGGAAAATTACCAGCAGCAGAATAGCTGAGTCAAATGGGACTTCCAGTCCCAGGTATTTTAGGTATCTCCACATTGATTTTCATAGTGGATTCACCATTCTGCACTCCCACCAAAAATGGAGGAGTGTTCCTTTCTCTCCACACCCCCACCAGCATTTGTTATTGGTTGATTACTTACAGCAGCCACTCTTTCTGGGGTGAGGTGGAATCTCAGTGTTGTTTTCATCTGCAACTCTCGAATGACCAGTGATGTTGAATATTTCTTCATATGTTTATCTGCTGCTCTTATTTCTTTGTTTGAGAAATGTCTGTTCATTTCAGATGCCCATTTTAGTATTGGGTCTTTGAATTTGGGTGGTCTGATTTTTTCAGTTCTTTAAATGTTCTAGATAGTAGCCCTTTGTCTGAGTTACAGCTGCTAAAATTTTTTTCCCACATTGTATGTTGTCTGTTAACTCTGTTGGTAGTTTATCTTGCTCTTCCCCATTTTTTCATTAACATGGGTGAGTGGATACCTGGATCTTGAATTGGATCCAGTTGACTTTTTCCTGTCTGAATATCCCCCTAAAATGCATATTAAAGTCTATTCCAAAATGGGGATAAATTAAAAAGTGAAACTAACGTGGAAATCCTAACCTGAGTGATTCATTCTAAACCCCTTTAAATACTTGCTTAATGTTATTGTGATAGTGCATTTTTAAATAAAATTTAACTCTTTCTGTAACATTGCTTAAGTATACAGTGACTTCCTAACGCTGTAGGAAAAGAAAGAAGTTTTTTGAAAGCAGATATTTGCAGGATTTAATGACTTCTTTAGTGGATATTTGCCATTGAGACACTTTGCCCACCTTTTGTGGAATCTGTGCAAGGGCTGAGGCAATCACATTGGCCCTTTCTTTTGTCATGTTACTGACCATGGACCCCAAAGAAAGCACCACGACACCATGTTCTCCAGAGCTCTGCACAAATTCTTCCATTTCCTGAAAAGCATTTACTCTATCAGAAAAATAAAACAACAGCACAGAAAACACTGTTGAAAATACCGTATTTACAAAAATGAAAATATTAAAATCAAGAATTAACAGCAATTATTAGAATGGTCAGATAAAATACACATAGGACAAAGTGATATCTTCAGAATTTCAGGTCAAGCCATAAAATTAGTATTGTTAATGTTTTTGTCTAGTCAATGTTCCAAACAATTATTTCTTATAAAACCAAAATTTTATATTTAATTTATATTATATGATAATCTTTAGAAAATTGTGATTACCATTTATGTTTCTAGTTTACCCAAGAAAAAGAGAGTGAATTTATTCATTTACTTTTCCTTAT